TTTAACTGTGGCACAGTCGCAGTTATTAAGTAAAGCTGAGGCCTTGCCAACTTTCTGGTTTTGCTGCCCAAATTACTGAATGTTGGTTGATTATAGCCCTAAAACACCCACATACTAAGAAGCTTTTAAACATTTTCTCCCCTGGGCAATCACCTGGTACACCTGAACTAAAAGCCCACCACATATAAATTAAGTATTTACTCAACTAACTGCTGCTAAAATCAATGGCCTTAAGGAATACATTAAAAATTACATAACAGACCTTGGCTTTTATGAATTAAAACTCCTAAAACTTAAATGTTATGCCCTCCTCTTGACCTGGAAAACTGATTTTAATTTTATATGCAGTAGCGTGGAACAACGCCTAGAGATAAGCACATTGCTGTTAAGTGTCCAATGTATGAACTCATATACGAAGTAATAGCACAGGAAAGGTAAGCTGGAGGAAAGAAAAAAATTAAACATATAATTTTGAATTATTGTATGTATATCAATATTTAGTAATAAAGAGTGCAAATGATCACTTTCACCATCCAAGTTGAATAACTGCAGTAAAAAAGAAAAGTACATTATCCCAATAATACATTCATGACAAAGAAAAATTACTGTTGTAAGCTTCTAATTAGAAGGGCAGCCGAATCAAACATTATGCCAAAGTTGTAAAAGGAACCAATAGGGCCGAGGGACATGAGGATGGAGGAGCTTGAAAAGGGGAGCTTAGCCCCAATTCAAGCTCACTTTTTGCACAATTTTTTTTGTCACAAATCAGGACAAGGAGCATACGAAACAATGGAAGGTTAGTTTTCTACCTGGATGCAATGAATGAATAAAAACAATGGAATATACAGATGTTGTATTATAAAGCTGTACACCTGAAACTTATATAATATTATTAACAAGTGTTAATAACATTAAAAATGTAATTAGAATTTTAAAACTTGAAGATTTTTATTTCAAAGAACAAAATAATTGTTTCCTCCATGATTTCAAAGACCCAAATAACCAATGACAAAGAAGCAGGCACTAAAAAACTCATGAGTCAGGCATGGAGTCACTGCAAGTGCAAGACCACAGCTGAGGGGTGATTTCTAATTCAAAGGGCGTGATTTCTCCTGGGTCAAAACAGTTGAACAAGAAGTCAACTCCCATGAATCCTTCACCACCATTCACCACCCCAGCAAACACTTAGAATTTCTCCAACATTGAAACCCCAAAGTAAGGTGAGGGATGTTTAAGTGAAGCATATTGGAACATGGAACCCATAGTATGAACAGTGATCAAAGCCATTGGCAAGAGAGGAAAATTTCATGTTGGTAACACATGAGTGGTTCCTGCTGGCTGAGATATCTTCAGCATCAACATTGGTGGCCTCAGCAACAGAACTTGCCCCCAATAGCTGCAGCAAGAGTGAAAAACACAACAAAACAAAAAAATGGCAGCCCCATCTTAGATCCCAGAAAACCATCTCACAAGAACTTGAGGCCACTCCAAAGGATAGGATCGTAAACTTTGGAAAATGAAACTTACTTTAAAAAATCTGAGAAGTTTGATGGATTTGTTCAAACAAGAAAATGCACACATGGCCATACACAGAGTAGTATAATAATTTTTTAAAGATATTCGAAGATCTGCTTAAGCCTCTTAATGAGTTCCACTTGAGAATTGAAGACCTAAGGACCCCCCAGGATACCTGGAAGCCATTGAAAGGGGCTGGAAGAACAGGACAAGAGGACAAGTAGCAATGGGTCAAGAATTAGCCACCCGGGTCGCAGTCAGGGAAAAGCTATTTAAGATGGACAATAGGTAAAATGAGTTGAAGTTAAAGAGATCTTAGGAACTTTGTGATTGGGGAAATTACTTAACCCCTCTGAGCACATCTCTACCTTGTTTACTCATGTGTAAAATCTGTAAAAATAACCATTTTACAAAAGGTTGTTGTGAAAATTAAATGAGAGAATGTGTTTAGTGTGCCACTGAGGAGGTGCTCAGTGAATGAATATTGCCTCCTGATGGTGTATCAACTTAGAAACAGTGGAAGTTCTAAAAGGATAGAATTTTTAACTACAATAGTTAAAAACTGGAATTATCTATATGTCCACGACTAGGCAATGGTTAAATAAATTGTAATACATCAACACAGTGAATTAGTTAGTATGCAGCAGTTTTAAAAAATCAGTTCAAGCTATATTTGTTGAAATTGATGAACTAGCATGAATAGATGTTCAGGATATACTATTCAGTGAAAAAAAACTAGCTGTATAATGTAAATAATAATCTATCCTATGAAGTAGTCAGAATTTACATAAGAACCCATTGATGGACATTTAGGTTAGTTTCTATTCCTCTCCTGAAGTTTAAAGAAACTCTATATAACCAGGTTTCTGGGTTTTTGGGGTTTTGTTTGTTTGTTTGTTTTTCTTTAAGGTGGATTCCTAAAATGGGAATTGCTAGTCAAAAGATATATACTTTGTAAAGCTTTAGAAAGATATTAGCAAATCACTTTGCAGTTACACCATATCAGTTTTATAATTACATACACCTGAAATAAGACTGCCCATTCACCATGCCCTATTTATTTTGCATACTTTTTGAATGTTGTTCATTTTGTAGTCCAAATTTATTTGGTGTCATTTTAATTTGCATGTTTAATTATTGTTAGGAATTACATTTCTTTCATGTGCATGTTAGTATATTGTATTTCTTCTGTAATTATTATGGCCCTCTACACAGTTTTCTATGGAGTCTTATTAGGGTTTTTGTGTTTTTTTTATTAAATTTCAAGTATTCTATACATAAAAGATAGGAAATTGCTGGCCATCATGTTATACCGTGCATAAAAGTTCTTTGGTGTCCTCAGTAAGTCCCAAGATTGTACCGGGGTTCTGAGAAGAAACAAAGGAGTATAATGACCTGAACACTGACTACATACTCTCTCTCTCTCTCTCTCTCTCTCTCTCTCTCTCTCTCNCACACACACACACACACACACACACAGTCACATAGACAGCTTATAGCTTCAGGTCTAAACTCTAGCCATGGGTCAAAAGTAAGCATAAAAAATATTAATGCTCCATATATCAAAAAGTTGTTCTCTTTTCTAGTGGGTACCAGATTCTTAATTTGAGCTCACATAGACAAGTCGACAAATAGAGAAAACACTAACAAATCATATTCTCTGTTGCCTCTCACCCAAGATAGAATAAATCTCTATAATCTATTCATTCATTTACAGAGATCATAAAGGTTAGGCCATAAAACCAAATTCCGAATCATTGCTGTCACCAGTGGGAATAATTTATCGATGGTAAAAGTTCCAAAGAAAAAAAACAAAAAAAAAGCACAAAAATAACAAGATGGAAAACATGTTAAAAAACAAAGGATCTGCAAAATGAACATTCTGTTGTTCCTGGGAATTCATCTCTTGGACAGAAAAGAAAGGCCTGGATTGAAGTTTTTGGTGAGGTACAGCACCCCTCCAGCGACACAGGCTTCTCAGCCAGCAGGTGAATCCGTTGGCCATCACATGTGGACTTCCAAAATGTTTACAAGAGAATTTATTTTTAATTAAAATTTATTGGGGTGACAATTTTTAGTAAAGTTGCATAGGTTTCGAGTGTGCAATTCTGTAATACATCATCTATGTATCACGTTGTGTGTTCACCACCCAGAGTCAGTTCTCCTTCCATCACCATATATTTGACCCCTTTTACTCTCATCTACCATCCCCCCTTCCCAATTTTTCTAGAAAGGATATAGTTGTGTATAACTTTCATACAGATATAAAATGAGTGTGCCAAAGATTTTATTTAATTTATTAATTATAGAGGGAACCAGTAAGATATTACACACAGTGTAAAGGAGAATAACGTATCTGGGAAATAAGAAAAATTGAAATTAGTTTACAAATAAATGTAAAGCAGGTCCCAATACAGGGCAATAATTAATAGCACTCCAGTGGATACAATTAATTTGCATCTCTGTAGCCAAGAATAATTTGCCTTATGGGTCTTCTACAACTTAAAGACTTGTAAAATAGCACAAAAACAATGAAAGGCAGAAAAGGCTTGGATGGGTGAGCCACTCAGGACACCCATTCTTTTGGTTTTACCCATTTCAAAGTCTTTACAATTTTACTAACTCTATTTAACACAAAATATAATCCAATATAGTAATTCTCAGCTAGCACAAGAAGTTAAGTACTATGGGGAAAAGACAAAAGCAAAGCTTCTCTCTAGTCCCATATCTAAATTTCTTATCATCTCTTTGTACAAGAGAAGAAGAGAGAGCAAGTAACTATTCTTTCGTACATCAAATATAGAAAAGGCCCAATGACTAATATTTTCCAATTGTAGATATTGTCTAACTCTTGTAGTATCTCTCTCATCTCTCTTATCAATACCACATCAGTGACATTTCTTCCCACAGGAGCTCCCTAGGAGCCTATAGGTATGATAGACTATCCTGAATAAAGATAAAAGGAACAAACCTTTTTTTTCAATGATTATAATTTGAAGGGGACAGAAAGCATATCAATAGTTTTGAAAGTGATAAGCTTTACATGAAACCCACCCTGAACAGGTTACTTTCACTAATCTGAGTTAGTTCCAAACTTGACACATTTTTACTTAACAAACTTGAAATCAAAATAGGATTCTTTCTGATTTACTACCCTGTGATCACATGTATTTGCAAAGTCCTTCACTGGGAATTCTGCAGAGTTAGTGACCCATGGTGTTCAGCTGAGTCTGGACATTTATGAGTCTGGGACATTGCTTTGATCCTAGATATTTTCAGTAATGTCACAACCCAGGGCCTCAAATCTCCTGATTGGAATTATCACCACTCCTGAGAAAAATAATCTGAGAGGAAACGTGAAAATGTCTCCATGGCCATAGCTTTTTAGGTGTGTTTCTTACCATATTGAAGCAAGAAGAAAATTCATTTAATGCTAATTATTTGCATGGGCTGGACTGATTAACAATATGATTTATGTATTTTAGGCTCGACCAGGTGACAACTCTACTAGAACCCCTATCCAGACAGAACTGTACATACAAGCTGTCATTTTCGACCACATTTCCAAAAGAAAGACCTAACTACCAACATGTTAGATGAGTCCCTAATTGTTTGCCAAATTTAAATGAAACCTGTAACCTGAAGCAAATTAAAATAATAAATGAGTCCCATAGCTGGAAGACACATTAGAATATTAAAAGCTAATAAAGAAAATCAGAAAAGAAACCATAGCCTTGGCTGTTTTTTTTTTTGTTGTTGTTGTTTTATTTTGTTTGTTTTTTTATTGTGCAGATAGCCTCTTAATCTGATTTGAGGTTTTTCTAATTTTTTTCCCCTGACCACGGAGGCTAATTGCAACAGTTCATGGGAGAAAATCTTTTTGCTACTTCAAGGATACAATAATTAGAGACATATTTTGTAGCTCAGATTTTCCAAAACAAAAATGTTTCAGGCCCTACTATTGCCAAATCTGGTGGACCAAAAAGTATGCCATGTGGCATAAAACCTTGAATATTGATAAGGGTCACAAATTGGAGGGCAGGCATACAGAAATATAAATACAAGGTTTTCAATAACAACAGATGAGTGAATAAATCTGAAATATCCCATGAGATGATGTCTAAAATGAATGAAAGTGTTAGATATGTTTATGTGCCTGGATGATATGAACCCCAGGACAAGGAAGCTGAGAAAATGAAATCTAAAAGAAACCAGAAAATTTTAGAGAGATGAGGACTTCATAAGCGAGAGAGAAAAACACACACATTTTCCTAATGTCCCCTTGCAGGTGGCTTCTGTGCAGAAAAGGTATTATCCAGAGGCCACTGTGATTTAAAATTACTATGTGGCTCGTCATCTTCTCCTTCCCATTCTCTTCTCTTCCCTTTCTGAACAAGCCAGTACTAAGGCAGTTAGGTGGGGCCAAGCAGGATGGGAGTCTGCTCAGTGTGTGTAGGAGAGAAAGCCCACAGCAGAGCATCAGTGTTCCAAAGGGGTAAGAAGGATGTATTTATGAGGGAAGTGATGGCCACCTGCACAAGGTGTCAGCTCCCAGTCAGAGTGAGTAGGGCAATATTCAATTAGAATTGGATGTATTGGTGTGGTCTCATCATTTTTTAATATACAGATACAGAATATAGGTTAATGTGTGTATGTGTACATATTCCTTTGCTTTGTCCTAGCCAAAGAGAGGGCGTAGGGGCAGGAATACCCAATTTCAATGAGCACAACTAGCACCCAGATCTCAGTTTCTCAATACCGTGTCTACCAAAAGGAATCAAGGATTCTTAGGGAAAATGACTGATTCCAGGGCTGAGGCAGGGAAAACACAAGAGTCTAGAATATCTTTTCATGCCAGAAGTCAAAGAAGTTCTCAAAGAAATGAAAGGGATTTATGAAAAAGAGACAGAACCCAGTTTGAAAGGATTGCCATTGGTCAAATCTGGGGACTGTTTGGACATCAAAATAAATAATGATAATAACAGGCATAAAATAAGAAACCATGAGTCCATTCTGATCTACATAAATGAATATGTGAAAAGTTTGAGGCGG